AGGGAAAGCAGATCCATACAGTAAAGCCAGCTGATCAGTAATACAGTAGGCCTAATATCAACACTATTTAAAAATGTTTTGTTTTATGAGATGGTGTCAGCAGATGTTTAATCGAAAGTGGGACTGCAACTGACAGGTATTTTAATAACCAAATAAACTGTCAATTATTTCATTAATTAATCAATGAATGGCATATAAACAAACATGAAGAAGTCTGTTTTCAATATTTTATTATAAAATTCCAAATGCAACAATACACATATTTATACTTATACTGTGCTCTAGATGGCGGCTTAAAAGCTGTGCCAAATCACATTTGTGGAACTCAGTGATCCACATTGGCAATCCTCAATGGGGAGCAGCTGATAAAGGATCAACAACTGTGATTTTTATGTGTGAAGTTGCATTTACAGTACTGTAGATGGTCATACATCAGCATGTACACAGCCATATATCTTAATGTGACATATTGTATTCCAATTCTTGCCTGTTTAAACATTTCCTGTGATTACACTTAAATAATTTGTGGTTGAATGTGGGAAATGTCAAGGACTGTATTAAAATAAAACCATTTGTTCAATTTATTTTTATTCCTAATTAAACAGGTTTGAATTGTTACAGTAAAATATAGAAGCTTTGTATTCAGCGCAAATGTGTTTGCACCTCCAATATCCACACTTACATTCCTAAACGTGTTTAATTACACAACTCACAAGTTTATTTTGTTAGTTTCTTACACTCCACAGTGTTAATGTTGCCCTTAGTATCTTCCTGATCCCCTTTGTTTATAACTCCAAAGTGGCTTCTCTTCAGGTGCTTATGAATCGTGATCATCGTGATCCCACGCCACAACTGTTCAGGTTTAGATAGTTAGCATTCAACAATCGTCTTCTCAGTCTGTATAAGATGCTCTCAGCTGGTTTTTGTCTGTCTATCCATCAGTTCAGTTGAGTGTCCTGCAGCGCTCTGGCAGAATTGTCAAAAAAATACAAAACACACTTCACCCCAGAGTACAGTAAAGTGTACCTCTGCCTAATAGCAGTAAAAAAAATAAATAATAAAATACAGTTTTGTGCACTGTACTGCACTGTGGTTATTGGGTACACTTTACTGTACTTTGGGGAGAACCGTTTTTTGTTTTTTTTTATAGGGGTTGAATGTTAAGTCTTGAACACAAATCAAAGTGTTAGGTTCACTTAGCACAGAGAGATGAATTAGCATACTTATTCACTCTCTCTCCCTCTCTCTCGATTTCTCTCTCAAAAAAAAAATCTTTTTCAGGGACATTATGATTTATGATATGCCAAAGACACAGATCATCTGGTAGAGGTGGGCTGTCTGCTGTTGACTCTTCTCTCTCATGCTTTGAGAAGTAGTAAAATTGGTAGTAAAATCTGAAAATTGGTAGTACAACTGGTGTTCTGCCTTGGCCTCTGTATAAAAGGGGAGAGACAACCTGGGAGGTGGCGAGCGGAGGGGAAGTTTTACTGAAGTGTAGTTTCTGTGACGCACCACTCTGGAAATTCAAATTTTAAAGTTTCTCACAAGAAACATACTCAGTTACTATATTCATTAACACGTTGTACACTGTGCACAACAACTCTGAGTCTGACTCATGTAGTAAATGTGCAAAATGAATAAAAGCACTTCTCTATTCATCTCATTGCTTCTCTACTCATCTCTTTTCTATTCTACTCATTCGCTGCTGTGGATTTGAAAGCAGCAGTACTGCCTGCTTCAGATTTGTGACATGTGATATAGGTCATGCTGGATGTCACATTAAACATCAGGCCTCTGTTAGTGGAATGCTGGTATCTTTATACCAATAACACAGGAGCAGAATTATGCCAGCTTTTTTTTTAGTTCAGTGTAAATAGGCAAAGATGAATGAAATAAAGATGAACCATCTTAACACCAGTATAAACAGACTCTTCATTTAAAAGAGGCTAATAAGCCTTATAAGCTTCACTCTCACAACTATACAGATGTCAGTCCTGATACTGTAAATCCCAAGGTCAAGACTTTTATAGAAATGACTGAGTCTATGGCTTTCCTTCAGACACTAATTTACTCTAAATCTTTACTGGTTTTCATTTTAATTATTTCATTTCTAAAATGAGACACTTATCTTTCAGAGACAGGTTCAGTTTTTACATTTTGGTACAACAGACTCTTTATTTTACTCATAAGAAAATGTTGAGTATAGGAATATTATATCGAGATTCATGTGTCACTGTAGGTTAACTTGTTAATCCTCCATCCCATAATGGTCTCTAACGGCAATGCCCAGGTTGCTCAAATGAAGGTGTCAGTGTACCAGTAGATGTCCCAGTAGTTTTCTAAAAGCTCTAGTCTGATCATCCTTTCCTCTGCCTTAATATGGCATCTCCTTCTCAAGCCACCGGTGATGGGGAATGGCCTCTCATGTGGGAACTACTGTCTGCTCAGTCTGTTTAATCTACCAACGTTTCACTATGACAAATTAATTATGGGATTAATGCTAATTCAGAAGAAGTAAAAAGATGAGGGCATATGTTTAACCCCATGGTTATTTAATACTTTTATGGGGGGCTGAGTAAGAAGAGACTGAGAAAAAAACTGGAAGAGGAAAAGAACAAGGTGAATTTTCCTCAGGAAGTTAATGAAAGTCCTTGAAGTGAGGTGAGGGAAGCTGTCATCCACCCTGGTGATACATAGCAGGCTCAGTGTTATTAGCACTTCCAGCCCTAGTCTAGAGTTTTATGCCTTACTAGATCCATTTGTTGATTAATTAATTAGGTAATATATGCTATCTGTTCCACAAAAAAAAAACTCCAGACATTACTTCCTATGCTTCTCCTGGGCTTTCTGGTGATCTCCCACCAGGCCATAACATATTCAGAGATTACAATTCCAAAGTCACTACCAAAGAGAATCCATTTGCACAAATGTCTTGACCTTTCACAGTTTCTTCCAGAACCTTTCAGCTGTTCTGCCAGCAGAATTTTAGTCTGTATTGGTCTATTCATCTGATATTTTTATATTTACATTTCAGTTCAGTTTGTTTTTAATTTGTGGCCTTCGTGGAGCCTCCTGTGCTTCATCCACTCAAGGCATGATTATGGTCTGAGATTACCCAATGCTAACTCTGATTGTAAGTATTTACAACAATTTTAATTACACCATTCTTGTCTATGGAATGGTCAATCCTTATCGGCCACTTTATTAGGAATAGCTGTGCAATTGCATGCATGTCAATACATTATATTCAAAGGTGTTCCTAATATTCTGGCCCTCTCATGTATGTAGCTGGCGAGGACAAAAATATAGACACCTCTAAATATAATGTAGTCCCATACAACACCACCTTTAACTATGACCTCAATAATAAACATATGCTTAACATTTGACAGTTTCACCAAAAACTGAACCATTTTGAGCTTCATAAACACAGATGTTAAGGCTGAAGTGTTGCAATGAAGTGCATACAATTGTAGAGGCATAACTAAAAGTGGCCAGTGAGTGTATATATGCTTGCCACTATACTGATTGATGTAGGTGCATAGTTTGTAACTAATATCATGTTTTCATGTTCCTCTGCTTCTGTTTGATACCCTGAAATCAAATTTTCACACATGGACAGGTAGACAAAATGAATGACATCCACAGTCCTGACAATCAGTCATGGTTCACCTTGAAAATATCTGCACATTTCAGGAGTGTGGAGCAAACTCTGAAACCACTCACCTTAGAGCAGCCAGAACTAACTTTTCAGGGACAGGAGTGGGGAAAAGTTTTATCTGTTGACAGCAAATATGACAAAGTGCAGCTTTTGGAGGTACAGTGTATAAGGTGCCATTTGATATTAGTGTTATCCACAAGCACATTGTTGTGGGTAACAAAGTCTCAGCCAGTGCAGTCAGAGTAGAGCCGACCATACATTGAGTGAGTGTGTGTGTGTGTTTGTGAGAGTGCACTGCTGTAAATGCCTTGTCAACTGCCTCCTTTCTGTTTTCTGTTCTTCATCATTTTCCCACATCCTTATGTAGGATAGAGTTTCCAGTCAGTTATTTGCCCAGTGTCAAGCTCAGCTGTCCAGAGGAATTTATGATCACTGAGTTGGTTTATTTTCACTTTGCTGTAAAGCTGTCATGGATTTACTGCGACAGATGTGTCACTGCCATTATTAAAATGTAAAAATTTGTGACACTGTCTAGAAAGTTTCATATGATGCCATCGAGCTTGGTCCTTCCTTCCACTTACATTCACCCAATTGCAGGTAGTTTGTTCCCTGGTTGCTCAAATTAAATCATGAGCTGTCACTGCTCCCATCACTTTTATTTAAACTCTACAGCTCAGGGAGGAAACAGGGAATTCATTCTCTCCTTAACCATTTTCTGCTTTTCAGACTTACTTTTAAAACCACACACTGAATCTTTTCTGCTGTTCTGTTTGGAAGGGGGGGATTTCATTACACTGAGTTATCTTTTGATGGCTTGTTGCATTTTGATTGCATTTATAAGAAAAAGGCCAAGTTATGCCTTCAGTAGCGCATGGGTGCCCAGGGGGACTTGTCCTGAACTGTCTCCCCAGTGCAAATCCAAACTGAAGCTTTGACAGTTTGACACTTTAATTTTCTAGTGAGTATTTCACCTGAAGTTTCCAGACAAAGGAAGAAAGATGTTGCTGTGAAAAAAAGCCCATACTGGTTTGAAAATTATTAAATCCTGGGCCTTAATTAAATCCATTCTGTTTGTCACTTTTACTCAGGTTTGGAAAGCACCGGAGGGATGAACAGCCAGGAGAAAGGATGGAGAGGAAGATTTCCAGTAAATCTAATGCCAAGGACATGCAGCCATCAGATGAGGAGACTATGCGGCTGAGGCTGGAACAAGAAAGGTGAGTCTTCAGATAGAGCCTAAAACAATCAGCAGTAAGCACCAATTGAACAGAGAAAAAGAATAAATAAATAAAATCAAAGGCTGCTGACCAAAAACATTAGGAAACTGCCTAATTAACAAAACTGAGCAAGGCTGCAAATTTCTGGGAAAGCACTCAGATGTCAATTTGCAAAATGTCCCTTTCTTTTATATCAGTACATTAAATAGATCATTTATGGACTGATGCTGCCTGTGCCATTCAGAGGCGCTGACCTCCTAATGGTGCTGGGAGACCGCTGTGGATTTGTATGATTGAATAGTGTCCCTTATAATAGTGAAACCAATGGACACTAGCTGTAATTCCGCATTTGTCTTCTCCTGCAGCTCCCCCAAGTCCTTAATCACTAAAAATAAGCTTTTCTTTTGTATCCATCCCCCTTGGCTCCATGTCCTTTGTTGTGTGTGGACATCAGAACATCCAGATGCATAAGGCAAAGCATTGGTTGTGCCACATGTGCCTCATGCCTGACAACAAGCCATGTGATTCTCTCTAACATAGAAGACAATATTGGTGGCAGGATGAATGAGAAGACATTTAGCAGCTTCCATTGTTCGCCACCAGCCAAATAAACAATAATCAATCTGCCACTGGTAATGACAGCTAATTGAATAGAAACAATAATGCTTGATACCACTGCCTCTTATAGCGAAGGGAAAAAAGGATGCATGGCTGTCAAAATCCAGGGTACTAAAAACACAAACAAGTGTGCACACAAAATACAGTAACCCTCAGAAAGGTCCTCTTCCCTGCTGAATAGAACATCTGGAGGCCCTGCTGAAAAGACTATAGCACATTTCCTTTTGTTCCTAAGCTTAGACTTGCAGTGAAGGCATGTGGGTGTGAACCGTTCTGGCTGAGGGCCCTACATATTTCCCTTAGTGCACACTGAAGACTAGCAGGCCTGAATCTCCATTCAAACTTGTCCCCTTTGAGCAGGTCCCAAATGGCTAGCATAAGCCTGTCATGCTAAGAAATGGAATCAACACAGGCACAGTGTACATGCCCCCACCCCACCACCACCACACACACACAAGCATATACTCTATAAATGTGATTTGTTTTTTGTTTTTCTCACCTAATTCCTCTTTCTGCAACTTTGTCCTGCAGCACATTCTCATTCCATGTCCTGTTTGTGTTTTTTTGTGCAGGTGTTAGCATTGGTCGCTGCTCCCATGTGCAGGAGGGCAACTTAATTCTTTTCTTTTGTACCTGTTCCCAAATCCGATCACTCATCTATGCCAGGATTGTTCCTGAGTAAATAGAAAAGGAATCCTGAGGGAAATTGGTGGTCGGTAATAATAAACCAGCCTTCCATGAAGCCAAGTTGATATTCAAAGTTGGGGTTCAACTCAGAAATCCATTTCTTCTCGTATGTTTTGGTTGCACTACTGTTTTATGCTTCCCTTTTGCTACATTTGACTGTCATAGGTCTGTCCTTAAGGCACATGTGCTGACTGATCGCAGTGGAGACAGACGTATTTTATTTTATGAAATTATGGATCAGGCAGTCATCAGACAGCACTGCGGGTCAGCACAACCTGGAATGCAGCTCAGCGCATTAGTGATCATTAATTGAAGCAGAAGGTTTTGACAGTACTTTTAGTAATTCGAAATAGGAGCCATGGCGTGTGACAGATTAATTCACAAAACCTGCCCTTTTCCCCTGCAATAAGACTGTTACAGTTCTATATTTTAAAGTCTGACCTTTATATGATTCATGCAGTTTATGGTTTGGCTTGATGTTCTTGCAGCCATAATTTGTTTTATGTTTATTTTTAGTTAACAGTGGGCTTCACTGATATCTTGTCAGCCTCTTTTGGAAGCATGACTGAAGATGACGAAGAGAGTACATATCCTAACTTTACTACAGTGCAGTACAGTGCATCCACTTTATGAAAAGTGGTTATCAGCAGCATTTGTTTAGCTAAAATCTGGCAGATCTTCACAGCTCCTGTGATTGGTAGCTTCATGTCTCATCAAGGTGGCATTAGAACCTGTGGTTAGGATCATCTAAATCTCTGTTCAGCCCAGTAGCAGCAACCATTACTCAGAGTTCTTTATGCTTGCGGACAGTACCCCTAGACACCCCAGTCTGACTGGCTTATGTTAAGAAGACAGCAGGACAACAAACTCTGATTGGACGCTGGGTGGGTTGGAGAGCAGCCGTTTCTGTGGTGGTGGCCCTCATTCATATAAGACCACGGGGGAGAGGAGAGAGAGAGAAAGAAACACAGCAGGTTGTGTTGGTGGCATGTCTCTAACTTATCTGTGCACATGCTAGCCCTGAAATTGTTTTCCTGCCCAGTGTGGGAAGCACACATAGACAGCCTGATGATGTTCCTTCCTCCTTCTCTTGCTGAACTGAACTCCCTCCTCTCTGTCTTTCTCTGTGGCAGCTGATTATGATGTCCATCCTTGCTTATCTGCTTGGCTCTGCTTGGCTTGTAATCAGTGGCCAGCAGTCCATGGTCACTTTCCTTTTTCCCCATTCCCCAGATCACAGCAAAGCACATCACTTTCTGTTGTTTGCTGTTTGACTTCCTGCTAACTCTGTACAAACAAAACCTGAGCTTCTTAGCTTCTTGCTAACTCTGTACAAACAAAACCTGAGCAGTGTTTCTGTGAAAGGTCAGTCAGCACAATACACTTTCAACAGACAGTAAATCTGGATAAGGTATGAGAATTTGGTTTTTTATTTAAGTTTTTTTTGTCACTGTGATTTCAGCAGCAAGGTTAACATTCCACTCAAATCCTTTTTCTATTTGAGTCTTACTTGTATACTAAGTTCAAAGGAAGCTACAACTGGCTGAGTGGGAAGTGTAATGATATTGATACCAACAGCAAGTTAATGTGATTATTAACACTGTGAAACTTGGAGAATTATCTTTGTGATTACATTATGCTGTTATGTGCCAAGTGCCAGCGCAAAAGATGGGCTATCAGAGGTTTGTGATTTTGAACACACAGCTGCATGCTCTGTCATTTACTACACTTTGATTAGATTCAGATACATTCAGCTCTCCATCTGCACTTCAGAACAAAAGAACATGTTTTGATGAGGGGCCATTGAAAAGAAAAATCTATTCAAGGCAATTGGATGAGAAAGTAAGAGACCAAACAAATTCTGTTTCATGCACCGTGGTAACAATGCATATTGAAGAGGCAGGCCTTTTAAACTTCATGTGTGTTGACTTCAAATGAGTATCTGAGAGTACAGATACCCAACACTCCCTGGTCCAAAATAACAGCCCTGCTAGATAAACAGTGAGTTTTATTCCAAGTGAGTGTGAAGTGGAAAGTCTTGAGGTGAGATGACATGTGGAAACCAGTTCACGCCAGGTCTATAATTGTACCAGTATGATGTGCTAAAGCAAATACTTCATGTGAGAGTCTTCTGCTTTCATGTGCATTGCTAAAATTAACTTTGAGTAACACCATCATCACAAATTTGGTTTTAATTTATGTGAAGGGTAATTTTTCTCTCAGTTTATTGACAATGAATGATCTAAAACATAAACATAAGGAAAAGAAAAAGCTGAGCAAAAGAAACAATAAGGAAAAAATAGCATCATCTTTTTAAAGACTTGGTCAGTTAGTGGTTTAGGCCGGCCCCACACTACAGGATAATTAGCCCAACTTGCCCTTCCCGACAATTGTGAGGGCATTCCCAGACGTGAGGCCACTCGGAAGCAATTCTCAGGCCAAATGATGCTGTAGTGTGTGGTGTTTAATGACCTTAATGACCTTTATGCCTCCAACAGGATTAGAGGGGCCCTGATCTTGAATCATGAGTATGAAGCATGTTTGATATTCATAACTTGGAATCTTGTAGTGATGTGTCGTTTACGAACGATTCGATCATTTTGAACAAATCTTTCCCATGACTTGAGAACATCGGGTCATCTTGGGGAGTGATTCGTTCATTTTGTGTTGATCGCACATGCGCAACAAAGCATTAGATTAGTACACCTTTCGAGTCCTCGGTTTCGAGTTGTTCGTTTTTGTAACATGACATGACCGCTTTGTTGGATACAGAAATTAGTTAATTTTCAACCGTCCTTACAGTTTTTTTTTACTCTTACTGTTACATGATGCATTTATTTTTATTATAAAATAGCTTTTTATTTCCTACAGACTATAATATCTGTCAATATTATGGTTCTTTTTAATAACACTGAATGTTTTAATAAAGAGTTAAGAAGATGACACGGCACGGCATAGCTTAGCTTAGGATGTTACATGACAAAGGACCAAACAAATTTGACCCAAAATATCCGGAGGATATCTGTCAATATTATGGTTCTTTTTAATAACACTGAATGTTTTAATAAAGAGTTAAGAAGATGACACGGCACGGCATAGCTTAGCTTAGGATGTTACATGACAAAAGACCAAACAAATTTGACCCAAAATATCCGGAGGTGAGGTGATGAAGTAACTGCATAGTCTCAAGACACAAGTACGATATTACTTATAATATGACCTTGGCTGTATTACAGTTCTTTCTTATTCGAAACGTGATCAATATGTGCATAAGTAGATGGGGAATGTAACATGTAACATTTTAATTACATTCTGCTGAAGTGAACGAAATGACTCGAAAAAGATTTGTTCATTTTGCTGAACAAGATTCAAAGAGCCGAATCAGTAAAATGATCCGAACTTCCCATCACTAGAATCTTGTAGTGTGGGGGCAACAAAGATTGAATCCTGATCAGACACCTGCAGCAGCCACTGACAGTGAGCTGGCTGGGAAGTGTCACAACCACTTGTAGCATTAGCTTGCACTAGCCTCCTTGTTTCTTTATTCCCCACTCACCTCCAGCTCAGGCTGCAATATGCGTAAGACTTCATCCACAATTTTTTTTCTCCTCTTTTTTTAGCGTACATGAGTGCTACTGTTTGTTGATGAATTTCCGCCATGTTTATTTTGTTCAGAAGTCACATTTCATCACTTG